TCTGGGACACACACGCACATGTGCCGGGCGTGAGTTTAAGTCACTGGGTCCGGGCCTCGAACCGCAGTCGACTACATAGGAGTCCAGTGACATAGCCATTACGCTAACTGCTCGTCCCTCCTGTCCACCTTGATCAGAGTAAAGATTTGTTTGAGGGACCAGCAGTTGGCATAATGGCTATGTCGCTGGACTCCCATGTAGTCAACTGCAGTTCGAGTCCTGGACCCGGTAACTTAAACTAATGCCAGGCGTATGTGCGTGTGTGTCCAAGATACCAAGAGGAGAATGGAGGAGAAGGGATTGTGTAGCCATCCTCCCTGGGGGATGATTTCTCGCTTTCTGTCTCTCTGTCTCTCTCTGCCCAGCGAGCGCACACGCCCTATAGCAAAAACCTCTCAAAAAAAAAAAAAAAATCTGTTCTTTTACCTTTCTTTGGATGGGATCTGGACTTCTAACAAAAGCTGACTCTGCAAGCAAAGGGTGTTCCATCAGAGCACTTTCTACCTCAAATGATCTGATTTGGTAACTGGAGAATAAAGCAAATAACAGGAATTTCTAAAAATGAGTGGTAGTGTCATTTCAGAATGCTGGTGATCATTTAAGACAAACACATGCACAAATGGAAGACAAAATTACCTGAAGGATAATATGATACCATCTGATCTTGCAACAAACTGGAAATATCCATCTTCATCCATATACCCCCATCCCTAGTTATACAGAAATTGCCTCTTAGGGACCAGCAGATGGCATAATGGTATGTCGCTGGACTCCCACATAGTCTACAGCGGTTTGAGTCCCGGATCCAACAACTTGAAACTCATGCCAGGCATTGTGTGTGCATGTTGAAAATCCCAAGAAGAGAAGGGATCGTGGCATGGCCATCCTTCTGGTGGGGGTGGGGGGTGGGGGGGGAGGAGTGATTTCTTGCTTTCTGTCTCTGTCTCTCTGGCAGGTGCACACACCCTATAATCAAAAAAACTCTCTTACTAAAAAAAAAAAAAAAGAAAGAAAATTTCCTCATAGAGTTAAGCTGTTTTTGAAGGCTCATCCTACAAAACAAACAGCATTTTTAAATATTACTGCAAATTCAACTCTTCTGTTCAGTTGGATTTTTAAGTGTTTGGCTCCTTGGAGAAGCCTTCAAATGAAGAGGAGCAGAGTGTGAAAGAGGATGAATTCCAGCACAGAGCTAGCCTAATTTAAGAAAGTACTATGACAACACTAGGCACACTTCCACTTTGAGAATTTTCTTATATGAGTTACAAAATAAATACTGCAGACACTCAGGAAAAAAATAAATTAAATCTTGCTAAGAGAAATAAATACTCCAGAGCTAAAAGAAAGCACTAATCAACACCTAATGATTCAAAGAATAGACAGGTTTTTTTTTTTTATATTTTGTTTTATACAAAAATAAAGAATTGGGTCTTTAATTGTGGTATAAAGGAAAATGAATGAAGTATTGTACTGTGCAAAGTTCACTGGTAAGTATAAACTGGTCCTGGACATTTTTTTAAAAAAAATTATTTTATTATTTATCTTTATTCATTTCTTTGTTTTAATTTAATTTGATTTGTTTTAACCTGAGAGAGAGAAAGAGAGAGGGAAAGTGAGAAAGCAAGGCGTCAAGTGCAGGACCCAAACCGCGGTCAGCCATGTGGGAGCCCAGTGCCCTTAACCACCATGCCACTTGCCAGCCCCGGTCCTGGACCTTTTATTATATTGCCACACACTTTGCCTTGAATTTGTATGCCCAGATTAGAAATTAAATATGATTGCAAACAGTAAGGTACTCAGAAAGCCTCCAGTGAAGGGAATGCATTAATTTCACTGTCTCATTCCTTATCTAATTCCTCCCAAGAAGGGAGAGCACTAATCAGATTTTTGGAAAGTTGGTAAGATCAATCAATTAAAAGGGCATAGGCTGGGGAAACAGGTGGTGTGGTGGTTGAGGTGTTGGGCTCCCACCTGGCTGACCACAGTTTGAGTTCCAGACCAGACAATTTGAACCTGACACCAGGCACGTGTGTATGCATGCCCAAAATTCTCAGAGGAGAATTGAGAAGGGACTGCCATCTCCCTTCTAGGGTGCTTTCTCACTTTTTCTCTGCCTCTCTGACAAGGGCATGTGTGCTACAGCAAAAATCTCTCTCCAGAAAAGAGGGACATGAGCTTTCTTTTTTTTTTTTTTTAAAGAATGATTTTATTGGGACCAGCAGATGGCGTGGTGGTTAAGGTGTTGGACACTCCTATTTGGCCGACCACAGTTGGAGTCCCAGACTTGGTGGCTTGCTTTCTCTTTCTCTCTCATCAAATTAGAATAAATGAATGAATGAATAAAATTAAACAAATATTAGAGACATGCATACACATATGCCTGGCGTGATTTTTCAAACCACTGAGCCTGGAACTTGAACTGTGGTTGGTTATGTGGGAGTCCAGCACTACACCATCTACTGGCTCCTCAATTATACTCTTTTAATATTGAAGACTATACCAAACATGCCACAGAGTATAGACAATATATGTATATATAGTTTCCTTTAAAAAACATAAAAACAATCATTACTGAAGCTCCCTTTATGGTCTGCCCCAAATCCCCCTCTCTGACCCAAACCTACCTGCAAGTACCCATTATCTATAATGTTGTGTTAACCACTTCTTTGCCCTTCTTTATCTTTTAAGCATATATTTATATAACCCTAAATAATATATGAACAACTGAAGATCTTTCTGATTAGGTCTTCAATTTTCAATCAGCTAATATTTATTGAGAAGAAAATATTAGAAAATCAAACAACTGAACTCATTTCTAATTTTGCCATAATGACTAGCATTGTTAACATATTAAATTTACTGTTCATTGCCTCCCTCTCATTTTCCCTTCTTTTCATTTATTTATTTTTTTTGAGATATTTTTGCTACGGGGTGCATGTGCTTGCCAAATAGAGAGAAAGAAAGCAAGAAGTCACTCCCCAGAGGGATGACCACACCGCAAGCCCTTGGCCTTCATTCTCCTTTTGGGGTCTTGGGTACACATGCACACTCACACTCAGCATGAGTTTCAAGCCGCTGGGTCCAGGACTCATACTGTGGTCGACTACGTGGGAGTCCAGTGATGTAACCATTAAACCATCTGCTGGTCCCTCTCAGAAAGAAAGCAAGAAGTCACTCCCCAGAGGGATGACCACACCGCAAGCCCTTGGCCTTCATTCTCCTTTTGGGGTCTTGGGTACACATGCACACTCACACTCAGCATGAGTTTCAAGCCGCTGGGTCCAGGACTCATACTGTGGTCGACTACGTGGGAGTCCAGTGATGTAACCATTAAACCATCTGCTGGTCCCTTTCACCCTCTCTTCTTTTTTTGGAGAGGATTTTACTATAGGGCGCGTGCGCTTGCCAGACAGACAGAGACAGACAGAGAGATAGAAAGTGAGAAATCACCCCCCAGGGGGGATGGCCACACCGCAATCCCTTCTCTTCCATTCTCCTCTCGGGATCTTGGGCACGCACGCACACGCGCCTGGCATGAGTTAAAGCCACCGGGTCTGGGACTCGAACCACGGTCAACTACGTGGGAGTCCAGCAACATAGCCATTACGCTACCTGCTGGTCCCTCACCCTCTCTTCTAAGACAATGTGCCTTCCTTCTTGCCCACACCCCAGTAACCATGGTTTTGTTTAAACGAAGCTGCCTCTAACCACATCTGATTGGCCTATCCCAACTTGTGCCCATCAGATTCTGTCTCAAACATATAAGAGGCTAGATTAGTGTTTGGGTCATACAGGGTGAGAGCCCAACACACCGGTATGGCAAACCAAAGCCATGCACCATCTAAAATGGAGGGAAGCAGAGGAACCAAGTGTTAGCAGAGGGAAGGAGTCAAAGGAGCAGACCTGTGAGAAAGGCAGAGGCAAGAAGCCCTGTGGCTTTGGAGCAAAAGAAATGGAGAAAGAAGCTACAGGCTGACTAGACCGTTCTCTTGTAGAAGCTCTGCTGTTCTCTTTGCACTTTTTTTTCCTGTAAAATTCTTCAGTAGCCATTTAATAACTCTCTTTTCTTATCGAACTAAAATGAATGAATATCTGGCCCTAAGAATCAAGTCGTTTTTTTTATTTTATTTTTATTTTAAGTAGTTCCTTTAAAAGAATGAACTTATGGGGCACACAGGTGGCATGGTGGTTGAGGTGCCTGACTCCCACATGGCCAACTGCGATTTGAGTCCCTGACATGGCAGCTTGCTTTCTCACTTTCACTTTTTCTCTCTGTCACTCTCTGGTCAAATTAAAAATAATAACAAATAAAATAAGTAATATAATTCTTTAAAAAAAATTTGGTTCCTCCACTGCACTGGTCAGGTTTCAAGAGCTCAGTACCACACATAGCTAGTACTGGACAGAACAGAGATGGAACATTTGCATCCTAGCAGAAGTTGTTTTAAACAGTGCTGCTCTAGTAAATTCAGCTTTAATAAACTTATCTCTCACCTCAAGGCTAGTTTTTGTTTGTTTAGTTTAGTATTTGTTATAGGGCATGTGCACTCACCAGAGACAGAAACAGAGAGGGAAAGTAAGAAATGACTCCTCAAGAGAGATGGCCATGCTGCAATCCCTTCTCCTGCACTCTCCTCTTGGGATTTTGGGTACTCATGCACACATGCCCGGTGTATTTTCCAAGCTGCCAGGTCCAGGACTCGAACTGCAGAGTTGGCCTTATGGAATCCTTAATCACCATGCCATGTGGCTGGACCCCTCCATGCTACTTTAACAAGAACCAGCAAGATCAGAAAAGCAAATTTTATAACGTAGTGAGAGACCAGGAAATGTCACTTCTAGTCCCCAATATACCCATTTCCAGTCTGTCAGGGGTTCTGAAAATGGAGTGTGCGTCAGAATCAAGTAAAAACATATTGTGATTCCCTAGGTGTGAGCCAAGCCTTGGAATTTGTATCTCTGACAAGGTCATTGCTCACTAGTGATGCAAATGCTGCTGGTCCAGGAACCACACTGACAACCACTGGTCAAGATGTTCTTGCTCTCCTAGCCTCCGTCCCGGCCTCACCTGTGCAGTGAGGTTACGTGATCACCTGGGTTCCCTGAATCATCCCGTGGACAGGATGATTGCAAAGAAACTTGCAATAGTTCTGAGGCATCGCTGCCTAGAAACTCCCCAGGGAGAACAATACCAAAAGTTAAATAAGTAAATAAATAAATCAGCGCCTGAGAGATGTGGGGATCCTAAATACAGCAGAAGTTAACCAGGTGGTTTAAGGAAAAATCCTATGCAGGGGTTTCTATCCAGCTTCCAAAATTATGCCCTAAACGAAAACAGTTGATCCCAGCAGTTCAAAAAAGTAACTTGATTTGTGTCATACATATAGGGACATCTCTGGCTCCGCACCTCGCCTACACCAATACACTCATGTGCCTTCCGGAATAAACTCCTGAAGATCCAATGAGGAGGCAGGCGCACGGTACTAAGTCCTATTCCAGGAAACTATATTGAACTACAGGGTTGGGGTCCCCGGGCACCCAGAGGCCTCAGCGCACACAGCTCCCTGGGAAAGCAGTGGGGGGCCTGGCTGTCAGTGAACTCCCCTGCAGAGCCCAGCCAGGAGCAGAGCCCAGCGTCCAGCTCCTGTCCCCCAGAGAGCCACAGCCCCCTCCCGAGGGGCCACCGCCTGCCCGCCTTGGTCACATCCAAGCAGCTCTGCGCTCGTCTTCACGGTGCCACCGTGCTAGGACATAGGGGATTCTAAGTCTCTGGGGAGCCACGGAGGGCCTGCTCCGCCAAGCGCAGAAAAATGACCAGCCGCCCTCGCGATGACATCCTCACCCCTCACTCTTCACAAGGCAATAAACAGCCCCCAGGAAGGCACAGAACAGCAGGCGACCAAAGCCAGGACAGGCACGCGCCCGCTGGCCGAGGAAGAGTTCTCGGAGAGCTGGGGCCCCGGGCGTCCGGGGGCGCAGCCTCTTCCGCGCTCGGAAAAGACGTGACCGTCTTGGGGACAAGGGCGGGGAGCAGAGCGAGCAGCGGTGCGTGTGCCCTGGAGGCCATCACTCTGGCCAGGGGCGT